TTCATTCAAAATTTTATTCATATCCTACTGATCATAACCGTATTAGAGCTTTAGTGTCTCTCGTTCTTTTAATCTTTGAACAGTACCTAATTGTGTCTATTAAATCGACTGCTTCCTCATAATATTATTTAACCTGACTCTCCACTCTGCTGTCATATCTCATCATTGTTTCCGCAACAATAGAATTTCATTCAAAATGTAATTCAGCGTCTTTACAATCTCCACGTACAATGTTTGTAACTTTCCTTGGAAAAGAGCATTTTATCGAGCGAAATTTGGCAGCGTTCGAATGCTCTTACGGCGTTTTTTCCTAGCGCGGAAGATCGGCTCCTGGGCCCAGTTTCTCGGGTCGCGGCCGGTCTTATAAGCCTCTTCCGAAGATTAGTTTATCATTCGCCTAATGAAGTCGGAATTTTAATAGCCCCACAATCCCACGTCAATAATTATCTATAAGTAATCGATTTATACTGCTTTTGTCGTCTAGAGTCCCTGATCCTGGCTGGTGGTCGCAGTTGCCTTGCCGCTGCAGCTGACGCAATACATTGTTCTTCCCCCCCCCTTTTTTTTTTAAACTGTCTTTTCTGATTGACTCCTACACTTTTTTTCTTCAGTTACGCTTGTGAAGCACCGCTCGCGAAGTGATCCAAAATAATACATTAAGAGCTTGAAACGTTGTGATGAAATGTCATGGAAATAGGGGTTCTGAACTAAATGCGCATTATACGATCTCAGAATGAAGAATAACTTAATCAGCCAAAAATACGTAACAAAATAGCATCTTGATTTGGGGAAAAGCTGCAAAAGGGGGACAAAACAAAAGAAAGACCCGGAACGCTCGGTCCCTTTGATTATGGAATTGTAACGAATATCGCGTTGTTGTGCCAATGTTCTGACTATATTAATTGCCCTTTCTTTATCGTAAGAACGTCAGTGAATTTTATTAGAAAAAGTCAGGGAATGATGATTTGAAATTTTACTTGCTATCTTGTTTTCGCACCCCGGGGCCACCACTCCACCGCAGCAATGAGCCTGGTTGGATTTCACAGATGAATCTATCCCTAATATGGTAGGCCCCCTCCGCCATCTGATTGTTGAGCTGGTACGTCACTTAAACACATCGCCACCAGTATGCCACCGTGCTAAGGAAAAACGCCGTATGCACATTCGAGAGTTGCCAAATTTCTCCGTATAAAACGTGTATTTTTGAGAGAAGTTATGTATACAAGGTTATTCAAAAGTCACGCACAACTGGGCATGAAGGAGGTGGCCATTTGAAATTTTTGAGTTGCCCCCCACCCCTCGAGGGGATAAAAAACCACATAGTACCTGAACAATTCTCCCCCCTCGATATGAGGAAAAACGTTTTAAACCGCAAGTCGATGTCATAATTAGAACTAAAATTATGGTCAGTGGTGCCAGTGGCGTGGCGTGAATGATCGATTACCGATATTTCTCAATTGAAGCTATGGTAAAGAATCGATTACTAAGGTGTTCGCTGCGAACACCCTGTTTATCGATCTTTTTCCATAGGTTCTAATGACAGATTAATCGATATATCGCGAAGCACGCCACGCCACTGAGTGGTGCGTGAATTTTGAATAACCCTGTATATTTTCGTGAAATTTTCGGATGTGGAAGATCAACTTGCGAACAAAAGTATCTGAAAAATTCGACGCTAAATATACCCAATTTTCCCAGCAAATTCTGGAAACCTGGCAACGTCGAAAGGCTCATACGGTCTTTTTCCTTAGCATGGCAGTATACAGACTCCAGAGCAGGTAAAAAACTTCGCGTCCCACGATCACGTAGTAAGTACATCCTCGGCCGAAGTCCTAAAGCGTCACTCATGACGTAAGCGGCTTTTACGGTCGTTTAATTGGTGACCATCGGCGTGGTATAGAGCGCCAGGAGGAAACATATAGGGGGAGAGGGTGACATAGGTCAAGTTTCATGCAAAGCGGGCACAACGGGAGCCGTGACCAGCGTAGCGGCGGAAGCGGCCCAGCGGTGCGCAGTTTGTGCGTAAAAAATGGTCACTAAAAAACGGTCGTAAAGCCCCGAGACGAACCTCCTGCGCAGTGGAAAGGCCGTCGCACAGCGAGTCGAGCCGATCGGAGAGGGCCGGACTTAAAGTTTTGATCAAAACTTAAAATTTTGATGTTTATTTCGTCACATTTCAAAGGACGACGGACCGTTCTTATGGGAAAAGTGGACCCGGTTAAATCGGCCGGTTTTTTTATATGTTGTAGGCCTTAACCTACTGAACAAGTACCCCCACCCCCACAGAGGGAAGCTGGAGGAAAGAGGTGCTTAGAGGAGAAAATGTCACGAGGGCGCCAACACTGAAAAAAAAAAAAAAAAAAAAAAAAAAAAAAAAAAAAAAAAAAAAACCCACATTGGATCTAGAGTCCAGACTCTTGAAAACATTGATAAGAAAAAGGACTCTTGATTCAATCGGATTTAAGCTTAAATCAAAAGGAAATCCGCTCAAATTAAGAGGCTTGGTTCTTGATTTAAGCTTAAATCTGATTGAATCAAGAGTTTTTTTTTCTTGTCGATGTTTTTAAGAGTCCGGAATGTAGATCCAATGTGTTTTTTTCCAGTGAATGGAACCACTTTCTGTACCTCAAAGTGGAAAATTTGCATGCAAATTTTTTATTGCTTCGTCTGAAAGTGCTTATAAAGCTGATTTCACAGAATTTTTTATAATTTTTTTTCTGATATGGGAAATAGTATAAAAATAGATTTAAAAATGAGAAAATGCACCGCCTAGTGACGTCATATGGCGGTGTTTCCCATTTAAACACACGTATTTTAGCAGATTAGATCATTTTGTCAGATCTTCTCCAATAACTTTTCAATTCATGAATCAAGGGTATCCTCGTGATCAGTTCACTCAGTAGTGTCCACTTGAACACGAAATTCATCAAATTTCAGACACCTGCAAATTCTCTATTGTGTATAAACGGAGTTGTGAGCTTTTGAAGTTTCCAAATTTTGTCCGACCCATCCTATTGACTCGCTCCACTGTGCGTCGGAGGTGAGGAACGGAACGTGCACAACACATGGAAGAGGATTGAAACCAGTTCCATTAGACGGGTTGTCGGATGAACGGACGGCGCTAGGTTTGTCCGCGGACGGTCCTGGGGTTTAGGGTAAAATGTGGTAACAGGGGAAACAAGATACCCTAAAACCAATATAACAAGAGAATTTCCGCGGCGTGGAGATGCAACAGGCGGCCGTGGCCACGCTGCGAAAGAGCTAAAACGGCATGGCGCATGGGCCTCGGCCAGGAGTGCATAAGGCACCAGACGGCTACGAAACGGGTCCTGGAAGATAGCTCCACCGTGAGGGAAAAGGCTGAAGGAACAATTAAATGACGCCAAATTTCTGCCGTTTAAATATTCATCACTGAGATTAATTACGAATATTTCGGCGCCTACCTGACTTAAGGGCGTAACTAAATTCGGAAATAAACCCTAACCTCCATACAATTCAATGCTTTTCCGGGCTCATCTCAATGTGTAGTTACGCCCTTATGTCAACCAAGCAACGATTTGTTCTTAAAATGTTCAAGTACCTTTAGTCAGGGGTGCAGAATGTTCTCGATCGCGCGATCATGATCGCGGGGCCGCTTGCGTGAGAATTTTGGAAGGCTTCAAAAATTTGTGAAAATTGGGGAAGACTTTCAGCAAATTTCGGGGAAGGCTAAGAACTTTCTGCTTACCTGCCCCTAGTGAAATTGCATTTAATATTCTCTGAAGTAAATTGAGGAAAAATGTTACAAGTTTTTCAGAAAATTCGTGTTTTTTAGAGTAGGGGAATTTAGTGATAGGGAGTGGAAGGGGGGATTAAAGCGGACACTCCCCATAAGGGGGTCTAAGTGGACTCCCTTGGAAAATGTCCCTTACAAGAATCTCTTGATTAAATTTTAAGCAATTTTCTCCTAACATTTGTTAAATATTTGAGGTTTTAAAATCGGCGGATCTTTACCTCCTTTACTGTGATTCTTTTTCAGTAATCACACTATTTGCCTCCGAGGTGTGAGGTTTTAGGACAAAATTTCCAACAAGAAGAAAGCAGTCTTGCAGTTACGTCTGAGAATAAAAAAAACATCGTAGTAAATGCTTAGGCTATACTTTTACTCCCTTCCACCCCCTTTTTTCTCTTTCTCCCATTTCCTAACTCCATTCGCTCTTTTTTGGCCAGAGGAGGACATGCCACTGTACCCCTACCCTCTCCGCAAATCCGCCACCGTCCTTCATGAAATCGCGTTTAATATTTTTTTGGGAAAAATCAATGAAAAAATTCGCAGGTCATTCAGGAAATTCGTATTTTATCGTATTAGAATTGGCAACAGCCGAATCTTATTCGGTTTTTTCTTAGCACGGCAGAGCTCGCCATGTGAGTTGCAATCTCGTATGATAAAACTTGAAAATAGCGTGCAGGAATTCATTAGATCCTGGAGTTCCTCCTACTGGGGTTACCTTCGCATCCACCACGCCCGGTTAAAACGAACAGAATTTTCTGCGCATCAAACCCTTTCCTCGTGTAGCCTCAAACTAAGGTCCTCTGTAAGGTCCGTTCAAGTATTATGGTAACCACTCGGGGATTCAGGGTGTCTACAAGTCTGGAAAGTCTAGAAATAGCACTAACTTCCTAAGGGCGGTTCAGAAGTACTGATAACGTGCGGAAATTCCGCAAGAAGGTCCGGAACTTTTTTCATTTTTTGTTTTCATTTTCGTCTCAATTTCAGCGAGAAATCCAAATTTTTGAAATTTTTCGAATTTCGTCAAATGAAGATACTGAAAAAGTACTGAACTTTTCTGTTTAGGGGTTGATGAATTTCTTGGGAATGTACTGAAAAAGTACCGTGGAAGCATTGATTTTTGGCCAGCCTGTTTTAGTAGACACCCTGGGGTTCCATTCATTTCTTTATTTTCTTGTTTCGGCCTTTAATCTGTCATACTAACAAATTTTGTTTTGTTTTTTTGTTGCAGTGTTTCGAAAAATGCGGCGATCGCATCGGAAAAAGCGGATCCGGGTGTGGTGATCGTATCAGTGGGGATTCTAAACGCGGAAAAGTGCGGGGGATAGGGGTGGCCGATGGCGAGGGGTTGTGTTGTGATGTGTTGATCGACTGGCCATCTTTCCTCCGGGAAACTCGACCTCATGATGGCTTGGATCAACGCCTGTTTCTGCTCCAATCAAGAAAAGAAGCGACCCGTTATCAGCGCTCCAATCCGGCTTCTATTAAAGGTAAGCGTCTCTTCTTACCTGCTTGCTTCGTTTCATCTCATTGTTTTTCATTTTTTTCTGGAATGATTTTAGTAGAGACAGAAATTGAACGGATTATTTACCAAATCACGTTAGCGCTAAAATTGCGAATGCGAGAAGAACAAGAAAAACAGTTTTATTTGCTCTGTTGACAATCTTCGAATCCAAAAATATGTATGTTCTTTTAGAAGGCTATTTCGAAAGCGAACATGATTAATATACCAGAGAAAACGAAGAAAAAACAACCGATCACCATCAAAATAGAGATTGACGCTTATGTGATCTGGAAAATTCAATTAAAATCGATTCAATTAAGTATTCGATTTTAGGTTTTATAGAGCATAGTGGTCAGGATTTGAGAAAATCTGGAGCGGAATCGGGTTTTATCGGGGTACGAGAAAAATCGAAAGATTTACGAGAAAATTTATCTTAAAGAGTGGAAATTCAAAATCCGGTAGCACCATCAGATGTTGCAAAGATTGTACCTGGGTGTGTAATGGACTCAGAATTGCAGAAATTTTCCCTGAAGTTTGATCCGATTCTTATGATAAGAATTTTATAATTGTTATACCCATGCCATTGGGTTCCCGATAAAGAAGAGAAGTGTTCCCACAATCTTAGCGACAACCGATAGTGCTTAGGAGGTATTGAACCCCCTCTCTTCATTTGCGTCCAAAATCGGGAATGTGGTTTTTTCCACTTCGAAGTGATACTTTTTCTTCAAAGTTGGTGGGCTCTGTCAACTCGGCTCAAAAAATAGAACATAAGATGAAAAAATTGATTTTTTTTTTTTCTAAACTCTGAATAAGAATCAAAGTTTTCCCGCGAGATTCTGAAAGAAAATAAGCGGCAACCCGGGACTTTTCATAACTTTCCTCAAAAATAAACATTTTATCGAAGTAAATTCGGCGACTCTCGAATGCTCATACGGTGTTTTTCCTTAGCAAGGCAGTATTTGTCCATAGATTGTGTGCAGCTGCAGAGGTTCCAAAGACACAACTCAAATGATTTGTCGTATTACAATCGCAATGCATTCGGAGCTGAAAAATGCGCAGGTAATTTTCCATTTAGTGCATTGAACGGAAGAAAAGTGGAAAGAAAAGTAAAAGCTGCCTATGAACAAATCGCTCTTACTTACGTATGCTAATCCTCTCCTTTATCTCATTCTTTTGAACTTGCTTGACAAGCTCAGGTGAATAACTTAGGATATTATGACTGGTTCGAAGTAGAAGATTATAATTTAATTAAGCTTTTGAATTGATCTTTTTATTAAGTGCCGCTGATGTTCAGTCGGAAGATTCCAAGGATACCACTATCCACGCGAATTTTATGCGCAAGCATTCCGATGGAATCTGTATTGCCGCAATTAAATTCTTTTGTTTCTTTCAATCTGGAGATTCAACGTGTCCTCTGAGCCGTTTGAAGAACTTGTTGAAATGAAGCGTTCGACGGGTCATTCGCACCTCTATAAAAGAAACAATAACTTTTTAACAAACTATTTTTTTCAATTTTTGAACTTGTCTGGAAGCTTGAAATACTGACTTGCCAAGTTTTGCAGACGATACTTCAGATATAATATAATCCGAAGATATGCAACTCCGAAAACCCTTTCTCGGGTTTCGTGTAAATACCGAATTTTTTCCGCAAGCATTTTTTTACATGTGAGTTGAAACAACCAAAAAACATCCGTCATGATGAAGAAACTTCCCTCGTTGCGAGGAAACTTTAGCCTTCACAACTTAAACTTTACTCGGCGTGATACGTCGCGAGATCTTTATTCGTCACTTATGTCGCATTTCGTCACTTTCCTAAATCCTAAAGTATCACAAGCGCCATACGACATTTAAATTTCCGTCGCAATTTTATTTTTTACACAGTAGTTGTTGATTGAGCCTGTTCGAAAATGTCACTGAATTTTATCGGCAGCGTAAAGAAAATTCGGTAAAGTTTTCGGATAGCTTTGTTGAACAATTTGTTTGTAAAAAATAAAATGGCGGTGGAAATTTAGAAACGTCGCATATGGCGCTTGTGATTCTTTGGCCGGAAGGTCAACACACCCACAAGGAAGGTCATTCACTGGAAAAAAAACACATTGGATCGAGAGTCCAGACTCAAAAAAACATCGACAAGAAAACATACTCTTGACTCAATCAGATTCAAGCTTAAATCAAGAACTGAGCGACCAAGCCTCTTAATTTGAGCGGATTTCCTTTTGATGTAAGCAAAAATCTGATTGAATTAAGAGTATTTTTTCTTGTCAATGTTTTTAAGAGTCTGGACTCAAGATCCAATGTGTTTTTTTCCCAGTGTTTAATGAAAAACTATCAAGAAATTGGCGTCCTTTCTTGCTAAGAACTCAAATTTTCCCAGTAAACGCGGAATCCAGATAAGGAACGCTTTATACAGGGCGCAATTCCAAGAATTTCAATTTTCTCTTCCAAATCGGTCTATTTTTCCCCGAAAAGCGACAACATGGTTCTAATATTGGAAACATAACCTCGGAGACCCTGTCCGAGCCCGGGGTGGGATTGGGGTTCAGCGGGGGGCCGGTGGTATCCTTTATTTACATAAACTTAATGTTATTGGTTTCAGTGTCGCCGTGTTTCAAGGCCTCGATCCTCCTCGATTGTTTATATTTTATTGGGCAATCCTGACACTCCCGTCCTAGCTCGGTTCCATTAAACCGCGTCGCGTTGCGGTCATCTCGTCCAAGACCCGGGACCTCCCAATGCATGTGCTCGTTGTTTCAAAATTAAAAGCCGAATGTATTTCAATAGATCGTATTCGATACATCGAACGGGTGAGATTGTATCGATATCGATTGGTTCAAAACCTAAACATAGCCTCAAAAGTAAATTCAGAAATCTGAGAGAACGGGTCTTTTGTAACAGATTTTTTATTCTTTTGAGTACCAAATGCGAATGCAAAGTGAAATTGTCAGGAAATTTCTCATTTTCAGCTTTTCCAACTTAAATTCTTACAGTTCTGGCTTGAGGTTATGTTCTATTGTTTTGAAGCAAACGATACATCGAACCACTATCGAAAACGATGTATTTCAATTTCATTCACTTGACTCGACCCGCATAGCCCCCGGCCCTCGCTCGCTCTTTTAATTCACTCTCACCTGGCCGTCCGATAAGTTATTGTCGACTGCTCCTCGAAACCCGAGTCCCGTCGTTTTGTATCTTTAATTGTTTTCGATTAATTTTCTCCGCGGCCCGGACTCGATGTGCGGATTTTTTATCCCGCTAGTCTGCCGTGCCAAGGAAAAACGCCGTATGAACATTCGAGAGTTGCCGAATTTACCTCGATAAAATGTTTATTTTTGAAGAGAGTTATGAAAATTTTCCCTTGAAAGTTTCAGGACTTTTCGATGGAATCGCGAGCAAAATTACTTGAAATATTGGAGGGAAAATATTCTTAAGTTTGCCGGGAAATACGCGTTTTATGAAAGGTAATCTGGCAACGCCTGAAGGTTCATACGGCGTTTTTCCTCAGCGCGGCAGTAGTGTCGTCGAATAAATCGTTGGTGCCTCCGAACTTAACTGCTTTTTGACACCCTAATTTTACGAGGCTTGCAACCTCACCGATCTTGAAGCATAAATATGAAATAAATTTCATCGGCCTTCCTCACCTCTATATCGCCGTCCTGTTTTTAAACTTCCGAAAAAATCTGTAAATATATGCTAACATTGTATTTCAGCATTGTTTTGAATTCAATCAACTTGTTCGATGTAATTTTACTATTTCGTCCCTAACTCATATTCACTTTTTCAATCTTGTATATACCTGAAGGAAAAGCAGGAATAACACTTGGGGTCATGAAGACTTATCCGTACCACTCTTCTCGAAAAAAAATTAATAGCGATTTACGGACTCTGTTATTTTCTTAAGCTAAGCGCCCTTAGATAGTGTCGAATGCGACGAATATTACACACAATTTCATTTTAACTCTTGAATGCAACTGTTCGGGCTCATGGATGTCCGCGTTGCATACGCACGGAAATGAAGGCGCTTTCGGAAAATAAAATACTACAGAAAGTAACCTAAACATCACAAGCGTACACAAGTAAACGCGGTCTGAAGTCAAAACGCCTTTTTTTTCCGTGCGCATGCAACACGGACATCTGTCAAACCCGAATAGTTGCATCCAGGCGTCTAAAGGATGTTCGTATAGTATCTGTCGCATGCGACCATAGCTGAAAGTTTAATAAATAAAATTCCAATGTTGCCTATATCTACTCCAGGATTACAACGAAGAAATCAACCAGATGATACCCGATCGAGACAAATCTAACCTGAGCCCCTATTTTTCTCTGATACCATCCGGTGATCTTTTTTAACAAGCCTAATCAAAAGCATCTAAACACAGGGGTGGCATTCCCCTCGCGGTGGAATTTCTCACTACACTGTCGTGAATTCACACTTTAAATTCCACGTTCATCCCTCCGCGATCATTTTTAAAGGCACAGAATTCGAGTGCGAAGCCAATGATTAGACAACAAAACGAAGCACACAGAGCCTATAATTAGTCGAAGGTCAGTGCCAAGGGGTTGAAATCGAGAACGAGGAAGGGCTTGCGCGAGGGCACAAGGTGCAGGGCTAGTTAGTATTCTAGTTCCACATTCAAGGTTGCCACGTTATGCCATTAAATTCAGGGCTAGTTAGTATTCTAGTTCCACATTCAAGGTTGCCACGTTATGCCATTAAATTGGATATCTTACATGGGCAGGGTGTCTACAAGTCCGGAAATAGCATATACTGATTTTTCAAGGGCGGTCCGGATGTCCTGAAAAAAAAAAGCGGAAATTCCTCAACGAGGTACGGCATTTTCATAATATTTGTCCTTTTTGTCGCAATTTGAGCGAGAAATTCAAATATTTGAAATTTTTCGAATCTCGGTAAATGGAGGTACTGGAAAGCACGGAATTTTACGCTG